ATATATATTGGTGACCCTACAACAACACTCTAATCATCATCAGTACAGTACATACAGTATACATGGCCCCGGACCACCAAATCCCACTGGGAGTTTCACACATTTTTCTCAACTCATTTTAAACTTTAATCAAAGAGAACAGAAGCACTACTCTTGAAACACACTGGGGCGACACAAACAAGAATGCTGGGATTGTGAAAGGCACTTTGTCCTGTAAATGCTCTTTGATGCAGTGGCATCGAAACACAATTAAACATAACAAATGCCTCTGATCATGCATTATGAATAAGCTGCTTTTCCGCCGCTGTAAAGACGCCGTCTGTGACTTGGCCTGTGCAGCAGCGAGTACAAGGTGCTCTCACGCCTGCACGGAAGCTCTGCTGTGACTGCTGCAGCTATTAGGGCCAAACACAAACAGAGACGACAAGACAGAGACTGCAAGACAGAGACTGCAAGACAGAGACTGCAAGACAGAGACTGCAAGACAGAGACTGCAAGATAGAGACTGCAAGACAGAGACTGCAAGACCGAGACAGCAAGATAGAGGCTAAGAGACAGAGACTACAAGACAGACTACAAGACTGAGACTGCAAGACTGCAAGACCGAGACTACAAGACCGAGACTACAAGATAGAGGCTAAGAGACTGAGACTACAAGATAGAGGCTAAGAGACTGAGACTACAAGATAGAGGCTAAGAGACTGAGACTACAAGACTGAGACTGCAAGACTGAGACTGCAAGACTGAGACAGCAAGACTGAGACAGCAAGACTGAGACAGCAAGACTGAGACTGCAAGATAGAGGCTAAGAGACTGAGACTACAAGACTGAGACTGCAAGATAGAGGCTAAGAGACTGAGACTACAAGACTGAGACTGCAAGACTGAGACAGCAAGACTGAGACAGCAAGACTGAGACTGCAAGATAGAGGCTAAGAGACTGAGACTACAAGACTGAGACTGCAAGATAGAGGCTAAGAGACTGAGACTACAAGACTGAGACTGCAAGACTGAGACTGCAAGATAGAGGCTAAGAGACTGAGACTGCAAGACTGAGACAGCAAGACTGAGACTGCAAGATAGAGGCTAAGAGACTGAGACTACAAGACAGACTACAAGACTGAGACTGCAAGACTGAGACAGCAAGACAAAGACTACGAGATAGACACTGAGACTACAAGATAGAGATTAAAAATCAGACTACAAGACTGAGACTACGAGAGCATTTTGATTCAAAATGGATGTGGTTGCAATGGTTTAGTGACGAAATACTCATTTTTGATTGTAACTGTAACTGCTTTTGGTTTATTGAATATATGGATGTCAGATTTACCAAGGATACTGAAAACATAGCAGGAAGTCATTTTGGATTATGAGTGCACTAATAAACTAAATCTGCTTGTTACGTCCAGCTCAGCTAGGGAGTAAGAACGTAGCAAAAAACCAGATGGAATTGGCATTTGTCCATTTTAAAGTAAGTTTTTAATGATGACAGAAAATAAAATGAATTGGGAAACAAAGGAGGAATACAGAAATAATAATAATATTGATAATACAAAACGAAAGTCACTATACAAAACTAGAGCTCAAAATTACAAAGTGACAACGTAAGGGAACAGAACAATACAGGAGGAGCAGTGACGGCAGACTGGCACGGACAAGTCCAGCTGCCCCGAGCTGACGGCAAGTGGGAGGTTTTATGGGGACGCCCTCAGTGATGGATCCCCGGGGTTGGAAGACGTCCACGCTCTTGTCCCACTACAGCCACTCAGGTGTCAGACCGGCCACGCCCACACTTCAAGTCCCTCCAATAGATCTCCCGCACAGACACCTGTACAGAACACGAAGGCGCACACACAAACACAAAGGGCAACGGGAGCGCCATCTAGTGCACAACTGGCACAAAGGTCGTTGCCCGTAACACTCCCCCCCTTAAGAGCGAAACTACTCATTTTCAATAAACACGGTCAAGTAGCCAATTGGAACTACGGTAATAACCAGGGGGTACTATAGCGATGGACTGTCAAAATCTGGACAGGGCATCGGCCAACACATTTTCCACTCCTTTCTTGTGACGGATTTCGAGATGAAAGTCCTGCACCATCAGAGCCCACCTCATCAACCGCTGATTATGGTTAAACATGCGGGACAAAAAGACAAGAGGGTTATGGTCTGTAAAAACCAACACAGGCAAAGAACTCGACCCAACATATACCTCAAAATGCTGAAGAGCGAACAACAAAGACAACGTTTCCTTTTCAATGGTCGAATATGACAATTGGTGCTTATTAAATTTCTTTGAATAATAGCCAACTGGGTGGTCAACTCCAGCGGCATCTTCTTGAAGAAGAACAGCCCCGGCCCCTTCAGCACTGGCGTCTACCTCCAACTTGAATGGACGGGAACAATCAGGCGCTGCGAGGACAGGCGCATGGCTCAACAAAGCCTTTAGACTGGAGAACGCATGGTCACACTCCTGCGACCAAACAAAATCAACCTTGGGGCTGAGCAAACGAGTCAGTGGCAACGCAACGGTAGAAAAGTTCGGGCAAAAACTCCGATAATAACCGGCCATACCCAAGAACCGGCGGAGAGCGCGACGCGTAGTGGGGGACGGACAAGCAAGGATGGCAGCGACTTTCGCTTCAACAGGCCTTACTTGACCCTCGCCCACTTCTCGGCCCAGGTAGGTAACGGTGGCCCTCCCGAACTCACATTTGGCCAAATTCACCGTGAGAGAGGCCTGTGCAAGGCGTGAAAACACGTTAGTCAAAATAGACGTATGCTCCTCCCAAGTAGCTGAATGCAGAATTAAATCATCTAGATAAGCATTGCAGTTAGACAAGCCACTCAACACCGTATTAACAAGCCTTTGAAACGAGGCTGGGGCGTTGCGCATCCCAAACGCCATGACTGTATACTGCAGAAAATAATCCGGTGTTACAAAAGCAGAGATCTCCGAGGCACGCTTCGTGAGCGGCACTTGCCAATATCCTTTTAGCAAATCCAGTTTGGTTACAAATTTTGCAGTTCCTAGATTGTCTACACAATCCTCCATGCGAGGCATTGGGTAGGAATCTGGTTCTGTGACAGCGTTCACCTTTCTAAAATCGGTAATAAATCTGGGAGTCCCATCGGGTTTCTCCTCCACTAAGCATGGCGAACTCCATGCACTGGAGCTATGAATGGCAAGGCCGTGCTCTAGCAGGTATTCTGCCTCCTGCTTCATAAGCGCACGCTTAGCGGGATTCACCCTATAGTGATGTTGCCGGATGGGTTTTGCTCCTTTCACATCAATGTCATGTGTTAACGCGGTAGTTCGAGATGGTACATCACTAAATAAACAGGAAAAATCATGAACAATAGACAGTATGTCCTCTCTCTGAGTATTGCTCAAATGACCCAATTTCTCGGGCAGCTCGTTAACCATTTGAGAATTCGAGAGTCGCGCAACTTTAGCCTGCCGAGGAAAAACTGCATCTGGGACAGCCCGGTCAGTCTCTACTATCACCAGCGCTGCGGCACAAGTGGACGGGGACGCCACCGGTGGGTCAACACTGCGTTCATAATATTTCTTTAGCATGTTAACGTGACACACCCGGGACTTACGACGGCGATCAGGAGTACGGATGACAAAATTTGTGTCATTTATTTTCTCTTTTACCTCATACGGTCCAACAAACTTTGCAGACAACGCATTTCCCCTGAGAGGGAGCACGACAAGCACCTTCTCTCCCACCGAAAAATCACGTTTAACAGCCTTTTTATCAAAATGGACCTTCATACGTTTCTGGACTCCAGCAAGCGTAGACTTCGCCAGTTTATTCGCAGTCACCAACCGCTCATGAAAATGACTTACAAACTCGAGCACATTATGGGGCGCAGACGAAGGAGCCAGGAACTTCTCCTTTAAAGCTTTCAAAGGACCGCGGGGACTATGACCAAACACTAAGTCCGCCGGACTGAAGCCAAGAGACTCCTGTACCGCATCACGTGCCGCAAATAATACAAAGGGAATCCCCTCATCCCAAGTATTTCCCGTTTCCAAACAGTATTTCCTCAACATTGATTTTAACGTCTGATGCCACCGCTCGAGCGCACCCTGGGACTCTGGATGATACGCGCTGGAAACTACATGCTTTACATCCAGACTTCGGACTAATTCATTGAATAGCTTTGATTGAAAATTTGCCCCTTGATCTGACTGAACGACCCGGGGAAGACCAAACAAAGAGAAGAAGTTTGTTAACGCCTTTACTATGGAGCGGGACGTGCATTTACGTAGCGGAATGGCTTCAGGAAAGCGCGTCGCAGCACACATAATGGTGAGAAAAAACTCATATCCACTCTTTGTTCGGGGCAGAGGGCCCACACAATCTATTATTACACGATCAAATGGTTGGTCTATGGCAGGGATAGGTTGCAAAGGCGCGGAAGGAATGGGCTGGTTTGGCTTTCCTGCTATCTGGCATACGTGGCAGGTGCGACAAAACTCAGCCACATCACGTTTCAATCCAGGCCAGAAGAATTGTTTTAAAATATGTGTATAAGTCTTAGTGACTCCTAAATGGCCAGCCCATTGGCTCTCATGTGCCACCGCCAAAATGGACCTCCGGTAAGAGTGAGGCACCACGATTTGAAACACTGCACTTAAATCACACCCAATTGAAGCAAGCGGGGACCATTTGCGCATAAGCAGACCATTGTCAAGGAATAGTAATGTTGTACATCGTCCTTGGGTTGTTCACTACTCACCACTCCGGAGAATAATACGCGTAAGGTTGGATCGGACTTTTGCTCCATAAGCAGTCGTTCGCGAGAGAACAAGGCAACCTCAGCCCAGCGAGTTTCTCCGACATGACAGGTTCCGCAGGCGTTTTTGAGACAGCCTGTAGTTTCTGTTTGGACCCACTCAAATCTGTAACATTACATAAAAAGGTATCAGACAAGTCAACGTCCGGTGAACAGGCCCTGGCGCGCGTCATGACGCACACGGGCAGCTCAGGGGAACCCATCTCCGTGGAACTGCAACATGGGGAATCAACAATTTGCAGGGGAGGAAATACCGTTCCCCCTGCTAAATCATTTCCCATCAGCATATGCACACCTGGAATGGGCAACTCCTGGCACACCGCAATAGGGAAAACACCGGTAACAAGTTTGGATTTCACGTGCACATAATGTACGGGGTGCGGGCAGTAGCCCATCTCAATCCCTCTTAATACCGCATTATATCCACAGAAAGACTCTGATGAAAATGGAAGCGCACTGGCTAATATTACAGACTGAGCTCCCCCAGTGTCACGTAAAATGCGGATGGACTTCTGATCATGCAGGGCTCCCTTTACAGACACAAGGCCCTCAAGTATAAACGGCTTGAAACACGGATCTGCACTGTCGCTTACAACAGGTGTACTCTCCATGTTAATTACTCCGACACCATTAGCTTTAGTGGCAGAGTAATTGGATTTACGCTTAAGAGCCAAACAGTTAGAGATGACATGTCCAGGTTTGTGACAGTAAAAACACTCTCGTTGCTCTTTGTGAACGGGTGGCGTGTTGGCAGACCTACGAATTGGCTCTGAGACAAAGGACCGGTTTTTCTCCGTACCAAATGTGGTCCTATGAGTCAGGGCGAATTCATCAGCCAACACCGCGGCCTCTTGTAACGTGGTAACTTTCTGTTCACTCAAATACATAACAACTCTCTCCGATAAATTATCTTTGAATTCCTCCAACAAAATTAATTCACGCAAATCACAAAATGAATTAATTTTTGATGAAGTGCACCATTTCTCAAATAAAGTGTGTTTCTCTCGGGCAAACTCTACATAGGTCTGGTTTGGGGCCTTCTTGAGGCCTCTGAAGCGCTGCCGGTAGGCCTCAGGGACCAGCTGATACGAACGTAAAATAGCAGCTTTAACAGACTCATATCTCATGCTTTCCTCCAAAGACAGAGCAGCAGAAACTTCCTGTGCTTTCCCAGTTAACTTACACTGGAGCAATGTGGACCAAAGCTCAGGAGGACAATTTATAGCCTGGGCTATGCGTTCAAAAGCAGAAAAATAACTGTCAATTTCAGACTCACGAAAGTTTGGAAAAAGCGAAACATATTTACTCACATCAACAGGTTGGACCGGACTGTGGGCTGGCTCAACAGCAGCAACGACCCGGCTAGGGTTAAGAGGAAGACGGCCTTCTGCCTCCAGCTCGAGCCGCCGCATTTTCAGCGCAGTCTCGGCCTCGATCTCAAGTTTCTTGAGTCGGTATTGAAGTTCCATAGTCGCTTGCCGCTCCCTCTCCCTTTCCTCCGCTTCCTCGTCCAGGCGCTCCACAGGTACTCTGTGCCGCGTAGGAACCTGGGGGAAACGGGACGGGCTACCCAGCGAGTGGTCCCAAGAGAAGCGGGTCGGGTGATCAGGCCGGCCTCTACTCTCAGACACACCGGGTGGAGAAGATGACGTTGTCAGCCTCTCCTCTGCTTTGGGAGGGACGCGTGCTGTGGATGGACAAACTTCCGGGCCCAATACCAGAGAGGTTGCCTCGGGACGCTCCGAATGACCAGCAACGACCTCCACCTCAAGCCTAGGAACGTGCATGCCGCCACGCTCCACCAGCCAGGATGCAACAATATGTTTCAACTCTGCTTTCTTTAAGTTTTTGTCCACTTCAATTTGGCACAGGTCTGCAATATCAACTAACTCAGTTTTCTTAAATTTATTCAACTCCTCCTCTGTAGGATGTGATAAAAATCTGTCAAAGTCAGCCATATTAAAAGTTTGCACGGGAACACCTGAGAATATTGCGCACGACAATTCACTTATTAAATCTACCAAAATTTGGTACCTACTTCTTTTAAATGAACATGGGAAAAGGATTTTCCGATCCCGGACGAGCCCCCAATTTTGTTACGTCCAGCTCAGCTAGGGAGTAAGAACGTAGCAAAAAACCAGATGGAATTGGCATTTGTCCATTTTAAAGTAAGTTTTTAATGATGACAGAAAATAAAATGAATTGGGAAACAAAGGAGGAATACAGAAATAATAATAATATTGATAATACAAAACGAAAGTCACTATACAAAACTAGAGCTCAAAATTACAAAGTGACAACGTAAGGGAACAGAACAATACAGGAGGAGCAGTGACGGCAGACTGGCACGGACAAGTCCAGCTGCCCCGAGCTGACGGCAAGTGGGAGGTTTTATGGGGACGCCCTCAGTGATGGATCCCCGGGGTTGGAAGACGTCCACGCTCTTGTCCCACTACAGCCACTCAGGTGTCAGACCGGCCACGCCCACACTTCAAGTCCCTCCAATAGATCTCCCGCACAGACACCTGTACAGGACACGAAGGCGCACACACAAACACAAAGGGCAACGGGAGCGCCATCTAGTGCACAACTGGCACAATAGGTCGTTGCCCGTAACACTGCTCATATTTTGAAAAAGCCATATTCATGAACTTAAAGGTGCATTACTGAACTTTAATGATAGAATGTCCGCTTTACACTGTGTTCCATTTTAATGTTATTATTTCGCTTGGGATGTTCCACTGTACAGAATGTTTTATTTACTGTACATTGGAGACAAGCATGCCTTCATTAGTTAAATATTGTTGGATATGACCCAATATTAAAGTCAAGGTTTTGAGCTGCAAAATCATCTGGAATGAAATCCTAAAGGCACATTCAAAGAAAACCAATAACCAACAGAAAAGTTGCAATGCGAGCTGTCCACCAGGGATGCCCCAAGGATCCATCCTCGGACCTTTGTTAGATTTACAAAAACTCACCATCTATCTTGAGCCATTCCGAGGGCCAGCTATGGGACATGTGTAGAAACAAGAATCTTATAAGGATTACCCATGCTGAATATGAATGCATTGGGATGGAAACAATAAACAGTAATATAACACAGGTATATTTGGTCATGAGTTTGTCTTGTGGGGTTTTGTTAACAGTAAGAAGGACTGATTGTGAACATGTCAATAAAGACAATATTCACCAATAGACGAATATAGCACAGCAACATACCCTCATATATATTCATATCATCACCCTCCCTTCAACCCGCATGCATAGTTTACAAGTCCTGACAAAGCTGCTGTTTAATGAACCAGGACTTTTGAATATAGAGAGTCTGCGTAACGCTTTTATGTTTACATTCATTGGATCTACACATTTTCATTGCATTCTCTATTTTGTATTAATTCACAGCGTTTTATAGTTTGCCCTAAAACATCTCCCTCTGATTCAGCATTTATCATCCTTCGACCAAGTCTACGTTGCTTTATTTACCCGTTCCAAACCAGACAGTTACCCTTCTGACTCTGTGGTTGGGGCCCATCTATCTTCCATGCCGTGGCGGTGGTCTATAGAGGATTGTGGAGAAATAGAGGGTTGAAATGCTTGACTCTTGCTGCAGTCCCACGTTCCATGTTTTAAGTGAAGCACTGCAGACCCCCGAAGACCTCCGCAGACCCCCACAGAGAGGGTCATGTCAGTTAATGTCTGACCTGAATATGTGTCTGAACTGGTGTAACCGGTGTGTGAGCAAAGAGCCACACATGTGAACAGGTTTTTTCTTGCGTTCACTGGGCTTTGTGAGATGTAGTTCTGTCTGTTGTTTTATCCGAGCTAAACATTTAAACGACTTTAAAGTCAACAAGTAATTAAGGATTTTTATTGCCATTGGTCAACCAGCCCCTGTTTGAACTGGTTCTCTGATCTGCTGTCAAGGAATGGAACTTTGTAAAGCCCTACGAGACGACTGCTGTTGTGATTCAGGGCTATACAAAAATAAGTTGAAATGAATCAACTTAAATTGTATCTTAATGTGAGGACATTTGGAACAATTTAACAGATAATCAAAAACATGTTCAATCCTGTTTCAACTCAAAACACCATTCAAAAAGTGGGAGGGAGGTGTTGGGTCAGAGAGCATTTGAGTCTGTGAACGTACACAATAATATACACAAGATATAAGTGCCTGCTTCATGCAACATCAAACTGTGTATCTGTTTATTTTGTATTCTGTTTTTTTTTGGTTAAAAGTGCACTTTGAGTTTGAAATGAATATATCTTTATTATTGTTTTCATTTTTTTTTGTTGCTTGAATTGTAATTGTCACAAAATATACAATTAATGACAACAAAGGCTAAGCATCAAGTGTTGTGTGCTTAGTCCCAGTGATCCCTGCAGAGATTTGGTCTAACAGCCATAAGTGACAATTGACTCCGACCTTCACCTCTCACATGGAGCTGACCTATCGCGGTTATATACAGCAGTTTGTGTTTGTGTGAGCATAAATCCTCCTCGTGCTGTGGCATTGGGATATAAATAGAGTGTGTGTCACGCAGGTTAAAGGGAAGTAAACCTGAGCACATTTATTATGAATGGCACACGCTGCCACCTGCTCAGACTTACATGATGGAAGGTAAGTGTTAGGCCATGGAATATCAATCAGGATAATTGACTTTTTTTGCCTTTTTTGTAACTTTCAAAATGTAGATGATTGTTTTGAAGTGTGTAGAAACAGTTACAAATCCCACTTTAATCATAATGCAAAAGAAAGCCATTAGAACTGTATCTAGTGTCCACTATCAACATCATTCTATTGTCCATAGATTTAGGCATAATGGGGCATCTGGAAACTTGTTACTGCCTTATGTGCAAAATTAATTCCATGATGTGCTTTGTCTTTTGTTGTATGAGTGAGAGAGGTTGGAGCCAAATCAGCCCCCAACCCTATTCGAACTGTGCAGAAATGTTTGTTTTGTAGCCTTTTTTGTGTGTGGAAAGAGTTTACAGGACCCCCGGCAGCTTCCCAGAGCAGCTTCAGTGACAGGTGCAGTTTATCCTCGCCGTATGAATAATAATCAGCAGGTCACCTTGCTGGTCTCTAGTGACTTTCCCTGTTATTATAATCATTATTGTATTATTACAATTCACCAGTCATTGTACCTGCTGCTATTATTACTATTGTTTATTCAGGTCATACTACGCTAAAAAGCAATATACACATCTGTAAATACCTCTGAACCAAGTGCCATTATAGCTTTACCAGAGTTTACCACCTTTATTTTTTGTTTTATCTTATCACTTTTTATTTTAATTTTAAGATCTAGTATCTTAAAAAATAGATCCTATTTGATGTGTTCCATTAAATGTAAATGTAAAAGTGTAAATGTGCACATTATTGTCCCCGTAGGGAAATTTGTTCTCTGCATTTGACCCATCCTGATGCCACTAAGGCTTACGTCATGAGCAGTGGTTGCCGTAGTAACAGCGCCCGGGAACCCATCTCCAGATGCTGACGCTCGGCTTGGTCAGGACCGGAGCTGGAGGATTTTACCTAGTGAGCATATTTCTGTGCTATGGGAAACCGGAGTACCCGGAGGAAACCTACGCAGATACGGGGAGAACATGCAAACTCCGCTCAGAAAGGCCCTGTTCCGACCGGGATTCGAACCCAGGACCTTCTTGCTGAGAGGCTATCCACTCAGCCACCGTGCCGCCTTGTGCCCTTATTTCCCAGTTTTTATTCTGCTGTAATTTGGGCAACAATTTCCCCTTATTCAATTAAAATGTCTTAATTCTTATTTTATCTTATCTCAAAGTTCCTGGGAATTATGTTAAATTTCACTTTGACATGAGTCCATTGAATTTTCTAATATAATAAATGTTGGGTAAAGCTAATAAGCCATACTTTTAGGTGCTGCTCTCTTCACATGGTTCCTATAGGACAGACATTGTTATTGTGCTTAGGTCTGCAATAGCTGCAGCAAATGGGAATCATTACTATATATATTTTGATTATCACCAGAATGATTGACAATTAGAAGGACCAATAGTCTTGATGATCCACCCGGAAGTAGAAAATCCTCCTTCCACATTCACACCATCAATTGGGTCCTTGTCAAGGTCTCATCAGTGCACAATAGAAACTAACTCAGTGGCTCTAGACTAAACATGATAACGTGAACACTGAAATACATCAGCGCTCACTCACATATTTACACATGAGAAATACTGCTTCACTAACCCATACAAGGGTCCCCATTCAGCATACAATCTGCCAATCTGCCTGTGTTGTCACTTTGTAAAGGCCTGTAATTGGCGACATGGATAACAAACTGACAAGTTTTAATCGGTGTTTGTTTGCTGGAGACCCATTGAGAAAATTGTCCCTACTGCACACACACACACGCACACACATTACTATACCATTACATATAGGAAGCATAAGTGGCTCTTGTGTAATGATCTGATTTAGAAGTAGTATCTTAGTAGTAACCTTTGAGGAAAGAGCAGAGGGTCCCACCAACCGAGGGACCATCATTTATTTATAGCAGAGAGAGTCCGGGCAGAAGGGCATGTCCCGCCTGACAACACCTAATGATCACATGTTCAGCTGAGGAAACACTTACACAAATTGACCCTTTATTTCTGCAAGAGGAAGCAGTCACTGTTAATCAATTGAATGAAAGAATAGCCGGACTTTGCTCCGTCTTTTAGAAAATGGTATTCTCATCATGAATAATATGTATCTTTTTAAATGGATGTCGACCTGCTGGGTTGGCGTGTAGAGTCAGCACTG